GCGACGGTAACAAGAGTAGCATGGTCGGGGTGTAGGCAAGGGATGGTCGGTAAATGGAATTCAATTCTTTCAGTTATCCAATGAATTTTTTTTTGAAAGGCTATCCAAGGAATTATCAATTATTTAATTTGTGTAATTCAGAAGATTCCATCCATCTCAATATGTGAACCAAACAAAGGAATTGAAATTTAGTCAAAGGAATTGATCATATCATTTCCTTTAAATTCTGCGAACCAAACAGCACAGCACCTTAGAGGTTGTTTGGTTATTGTGGTTTAATGGACCGGATAGGATGTATAATTTATTTGGTAAGCCATACATAGTTGTTCAGTTCTAGCTTAATGGCTCAGCAAGGAGCTTATTCAGTCAACCAACTGACATAAGTCATATATATTAAGCCCTTTCATTTCCACATATACCCTTATCCTAAAGAACTGGTTCATAGAATCTGTTTTGTAGAAGAAAGAAGTGGACACATAGAAGAAGGAACACAAATTAGGGTAGCTAGGTTTTAAATTGAAGCGATGCAAAGGGAGGTGGTGCTTTCTTTCTCCATCGTTGAACTCGCCAGACACCTTCAAGGCTCAAAAACCATATATGATTATGTGGGCTCGAGACCATTGGATCAATTGAGGGGAGATTTGGCTGAAACCGAATGATTAATAGACTCTATATGATTTACTGCATCATAAAAATGATGGTTTGGTAAGCATTATGCATGGACTTTATGAATGACAAACCCTGTACATTATTTAATGTCGAATAAAACATGATTGTTTGATAAAATGCTTGAATTAATAAATCGATTTGCAAATATAAATAACAAAAAAATAGAAATTACCACAAAGTTAAAGACATTAACAGGTTTTTTCTTGTCAAACAAGATTTACCTCCGTACAATTCAGAGGTTGGCTCTTAATGGCACCATTAAGATGTTAGCAAACACCGTTGGAGTTAGAGATTAAACCAATCATCAACCTCATCGTTGTACTTCAGTTGTTGGCACACACAAACCTACAACAGAAAGAGGGAGGGAGAGAGAGAGGACAAGGTCAATTAGGTTTGAGAATAACTGTGTTTTTTAATGTTTTTAGGACGGTTGTAAACGGATGGATAAAATAGTCATTCTTGTCATTTAGACCATTTATATAGTTCAATAACCAAACAACAATTTAGTCTAACTCATACAGACAATTAAGTCCCCACAAACAACTTAATCCATATAGAGCTTAATAGAAAAAAAACAACCGAACAACCCTTTAGACACGCTTATAGCAAGCAACACACACAACCAAAAGGAATTATGAAAATTACAGGGATGGACAAAATCGATCTAAGAAAAACCACACGGATTTGATTAAATGTTTGTGCACTTTTGATCATACATTCATGTTTTAATGATTTGGATAATGTGATATATATGAATACTTGGTCACGATGTAGAATGTGTGATGTCGCGCTCCATTTCCATACAACACTGTAAACATAAAACTTATTACGATGGAATTGGAATGGTTAATTCCATTGATCAAATTTCATTCTAACATTTGGTTACCCATGGAATGGAAGTGAGTTCCAAACATTCCACTCATTTGAGGATTTCACTATTCCTTTCTAGATGGAATTGAAATTCATTCCATCAAAAAAATTGTGTAAATGACAAAAATACCCTCAAGAATTTAAATCCATTCCTAAAACTAATCGATTACTGCTTGCTTCCAATTTCTGCTTATGATGCTCGCCCTCTAAACTCTTGATTCAAAATCAAACCCAATTTAAACGCAAACCCCAAAATCAAACCCAAATCAAGCTCTATTCATATTCTGAACCAAAACTCGTTTTCAAAAATCCAAGCTTCTGTTACAACAATGATGAACCCAGAACATCGACGGAAAAGTAATCCATGTTTGTGAACAAGTTAGAACCTAGATGAGGGTAGAAGGGTTTTGGCCGGTGAGAAGTTTCGGAGACGGGGCAATGAGGGTAAAAGGGGTTTAGGTTGTGCAGGTTTTGGGTTTGGTCATAGAACAACAGAGGGTGAGACGAGACGAGGAGGCGAGCAGTAAGATACCTGTCATTTTTCCAGAGACAAGCAGTAGACCTGGATCAGTTGGACGGAGGCAAGCAGTAGACCTGGGTCACCGATGAAACAAAAACACAGAGACCTGGATCATTTTCTCAATTCTAGGTCGCCGATGAAACAAAAACGTAGAGAAAAAGAAGGAACACATCAACAGAGGGTGTGAGCTGTTAAAGGAGAAGGGTTTTAATGAACAATGAAAGGAGAAGGATTTTAATGCGTTGAGTGTGAGCTGTTAAACGAAAGGAGAAGGGTTTTTTGTAATTAAAAAATATTCACGAAAGGGTATTTTTGTCTTTTATTCATAATTCCATTATAATTCTGTTGTAAATCAAACAGACAGATTACAATTTATTAGACAGGTTACATTTCATTCTTGCCAATCAAACACTTGGTCAAATCTAATAACATTTCGCTTCAATTCCTTTCAGATTTCAATTCATTTGACAGATTTCATTTCTTCAGGAATCATTCAGCAAACCAAACGCCCCCTAAGGTAAGCACTCTTCAAGAAGCTATCAAGGAATCTCATAAGATGAAGGATGATCCGACGCAAGCAAAGGAGCGTGTCTTAGTTGGAGAAAAGAGAAAGTGGGAGGGCTAGTCCGAGTCTTTCAAAAAGTCACAATTTTGGAAGCGGTAAGAGTACCGATTTCAGAAAAGATGCATGGGTTGTAAGCAAACCGAACGCTCTGTCAACCGTCTATCAAGAAATTTGTTTATTTAAAAAAATGAACGTGAATAAAGGTCTCGTTCGTACAATTACGCTCGTTCATGTACTTTTGTTTATATAGAAAAATGATGATATTGTATATAAAAAGCGAAGATGGATGGATGGATGAATGATGTCAACTACTTTCTTACATTTTTTGTTTTTTTCTTTTATGTTTGCTTAGAGGAACGAGAAGATGCATAATAGTGTCGGTTTTTCTATTCATTTAAGTTCGTTCTTTATGTTCATTTAAGTTAATATTACGTCCGTTTATCATCTTAAAGAACATGAACAAGCCAATTTTCATAATGAATGAACACTAGCAAAAAGAAATTCCCATATTTATGCATTCAGATCGTTCATTTATTCAATTAAGTTAAACAAACGAATACGAACAAGTTTTTGTTTGTGTTCATTTACATCCCTAATGCCAAGCGATACCTTTTCTTTGTTTCGTTTTGTGGGGATTTTAGGAACCTCTATTGCACCATGCAGTACAAAGAGAATATGAAGGTTTTGGTTTTGGTTTTGGACCATCTCGACAAATCCAATACTCAACGAAGCACATCGAGTATATCTTCTCATAGGTCATCGGTTTGAGTCCTACAAGGTTATCGCGGATTTTCTTGGGTGTTCTCTATGGCCTCTGGGATTAGTCGAGATACACGCAAACTGATTCAAAAATAGATTGGTAACCTGAGTCTAAAAGACTTTGTAACATAAATTAGTAGAAGATATAGAAAGCATAGCTATATGTCAAAGTCAGATCACCAACTTATACAATGTTTGGCAAACTAACCGGTAAGTTAATTATTAACTGAAAAGCTAGCTATTGACCAATAAACTAACTGTTATAGTTGCCTCATGCATAAAGCTCAATTGGCAAAAGGGAGGGCAGATGAGTGAGCCAAAAAGGCCTCCTGCCATTGGTGTCTTTGGAGAACTCCACGGGCTCTACTTGGCGGTTGGGGTTGCTGGTAAACTTTTTTGCCTAAAAAACTAACTTTTAACTGATAAGCTAGTTGATAAACTAGTAAAAAGCAGTTAATAGTAGATGACAATGTAAAATGACCTATAAAAATCATGTCACACACCTTCATGTTACAAAGCTGAAAAAGATTCATATCCCAAATTCCTAAACACAAAAAAAAGAATGAATTCTTCAAGATAACATAATCAAACTCCATCCTAATAACCACTCTTTTCATAACAATAAAACCAAACAAAACCAATTATCTTCACTCGGGTTTTCTACTTCTTTTTTCTTGTGTTTCCGTGTTTAAAATTTACATGGGTTCGTAAGATCTAATGGGTCATCTTCTTCTTCTTCTTCTTCTTCTTCTTCTTCTTCTTCTTCTGCTAAAACTCGAAGAACACACAGTTACGAGCTGAAAACGTTCTTTTTCTTCTTTCCTACTCAATTCTTGATCTACCTGCTTCTTATTTGGGCAACAACCTGATTGCTATGGATCCAATTTTGAACACGACACATGTTACAACAAAATAATGTTTATAAGACGCCAAAAATGTCCAAGTGTCCTACTAAACTGCTTTATGACTCAAAACTTATACAACCAAACAATTGTACATCCCATGTAAAAGTGTTATAATAAGTTTATAGAAAGATTTTGAGTGTATTAACAAGTTTTTTACAACACTTTTAAAAAGGTGTCTTATAAAAACAAGTGTCCTACAAAAAGATGTGTTCACAGAGCACTTCTCACAGAGTGTCCTATAAAAAAGCTAATACGACACTTTATGTTGAAAGTGTCCTAAAAAACTTATTAAGACACCCAAAAACGTCTCATAAGCTTATTGTAACACTTTTACATAGAAAACACAATTGTTTCGTCCTATAAAGTATTTCATTAGGACACTTGGACATTTTAGGCGTCTTATAAATCCAATTTTGTTGTTCTGACATTTCCTAAGTGATATTTCCTATTTTCAAAGGAACAACAGATACTCAAAATCCACGTGTGTTTGTTGCTTTAGAACAGTTACCATCCCCGAGATTGTTGATACCGGAATTAGAATCATATCCCATTTGGAGAAGATTGTGAAGATCATTATCCCATACAGGCTGTTGGATCACAAAATCTATGTTAGAAAATGGATTCTTTGTTAATTACTAAGAGCATCTCCAACAGCTATGCAATATTTTTTATAAAATAGAGTATTAAAAGTCAAAATATTTATAAAAAAATTACACTCAACTCCAACAGCTACTCTATTTTAACAATTCTAGCATTAACTGTATTACTAAAATATTCAGGGGGTGTTTGGGATTGCTTATAGAAACAACTTATTGACTTATTCCGATGTGGTATCGGTAATAAACACTTTTGAGTGTTTGGATAAACAGCTTATACCGGTACCAAACGGTAATAAGGAGTTTTTGAAGAAGTTAAACCATTTTAATTTATAATAAGTTGATAAGGACTTTTGTAGAAAAGCATAAGTTGTTTCAAATAAGCAAATCCCAAACATCCCCTCAATACCTTTAACAAAATATTGTTTCTCTCTCCTAAACATTTATTTCCAATACCTCTTATTGGTGGGAAATGATTGAAATATTATTTCTCTCTCCTAGTTTTTAGAGATATCTCCAAATTCGGAGATTTTCACCTTCTCTCTTCCTTTCTCTATTTTACTGTAGCTGTTGGAGCAAAAAAATTACTAAATCTCCAAAATCTTTATTTTAGCATAGTTGTTGGAGATGCTCTAATTGCATTTAAAAGCAAACTGGACGATACCTGAGGATGGATGGGAGGAAATGGTGGATTCGTAGATGGAATAACCGGCATGATTCCTTGTGAATAATGTTGGGATGAGGTCAATCCTTGGATAAATCCAAGATTTGAGTTGTTGCCTCGTGAATTAAGAATCTGCACATGGAGGACGTGTGAGAATACGTGGAATCCCATCAGATTACTCCGTTACAAAAAAAAACATTGCAACAAAATCGGGTTTATAGAACACCAAAAAGTGTGTTGTATAAGACTTAAGTTTATAGGACCAAAGCAATTATGTGTCTTTTTGTAAAAGTGTTGTAATTTTGAAATTGTTATTAGAAGAACTTGTTAAAACACACAAAAGCGTGCTACAAACTTATTGCAACGTTTTTAGATATAATGCAGAAGTGTTTGTTCATATAAACTCGTGTCTTATATAACAGTCTATTATGACACTTAAAAATTTTAGGCGTTATATAAACCTAATTTATTGTAGTGAGAGAAGACACGTTTCAACATATATTAAGGAGAAATGGTTCAAATCTAGTCAATGTGGGACTCAACACACCCCCTCCAACAGAGGCTAGACGGGCACAAATCTTCCCAGTGTCAGAGTCCCATAATGGTAGACATATGCTCTTATACCATGTGAAACTTGGGTTTATAGGACACGGAAAATGTCCAAGTGTCATAATAGATTGTCAACCAATTATGCGTCCTACGTAAAAGCGTTCTAGTGTTAAAAGCATTCTAAAAGAACTTGTTAAAACGTCTAAAAGCATCCTACAAACTTATTGAAACGCTTTTAGATAGGACACACAATTGTTTAGTCCTATAAACTCAAGTCCTATAAAGCAGACTATTAGGACACTTGTACATTTTAGACGTCCTATAAACCTAACTTTGTTGTAGTGAGAGAAGGCAGATTCCAACATATATCAAGAAGAAATGGTCCAAGTCTAGCCAATATGGGATTCCACGTTCCCCTCCAATACAGACGCCAGAGTGTCAAGTCCCCAAAATGGTAGACATAGGCTCTTATACCATGTGAAAATATGTGAAATCCCATTAGATTACTCACTCAAAGAACCCTTAAGTCCCGTTTGGTTTGTAGGATTGGATAGTATTTGGAGGGATTTGGAATTCAATCCCATTCCAATCTCATGTTTGGTTTGAAGGATTGCTTGGATTTGAATTCCTGTTATTTCATTGAAATCCCATGGGGGGCGTTGGTATTTCACAGGATTTTGTAGGATTTGTATGTAATAATGTTTTGCAATATGTCGAAAACATTGTGTTTTATAATGAATGGAATTCATTTCATTCCAAATCCTACAGACCAAAGATTTCAAAAATCCTTCCACAAAATCCAAATCCCACAAAACCATTCCATGAAACCAAGCGCCCCCTTAGAGCGTTGTATACGTTCTTTCATTAAACAAGATAGCTATTGGTCATTAATGGTGTATCGAGATGAAGTGATACAACTTACATCTTTTGACAAAATGTGGTCGATATCAATGTTCAGTTCTGGATTCACAGTCGCAAGTTTCATCGATAAAAACTGCATTGTAAAACAGATTAAATCTTCAACATATTATCATATCATATTCCACATCTTTGATCGGGAAAAGAATCAATCTCTAAATATTTCAAAACCAGTCAAAGCTCCAAATAGAAAGATTCAACGGCATACCTCAACCTGCTGTTGGAGGGATTGCACGTAGTTGATGATCTCATCAAGCATTACGGCTTTCCCGGTGATCTTGAATCAAATTAACAAAAACCATCAGAAACACAATCATAGAAACCAAAGCGAATAGTGTTAGACAATACAACAAAATCGGGTTTATAGGACGTCAAAGATGTCTAAGGGGCTGTTTACTTGCGGCTTAATTAGGCTTATTGGTCTATCTGGCTTATTCGCACAGCTCATTTGGGTTGTTTGCTTACGGCTTATTCGCACAAAACATGGCTTAATCGTACAAATAGAAATGGTGTATTGCCCCCATTCAGCCACAAAAATGACACCCTACCCCTTATTTAAAGCATCACCTCCTTTCCAAATGAGACACCCCATCGTCAACCTCTTTATGATTTTTTGTTTTGATGTTTAAATAATAATTGTGGGGGGTAAATCGGTCATTTATGTTATTCAGACTGTTGGTTCAGATAAAAATAAAAAGTAAACACCACCTAAGTGTTGGATCTCTAATCCAGACAGACAAATTTATCCAGACAGACAAATTTATCGGACAGAAAAATTTATCCATACAGGACTTAATAAAAAATTTGGTAAACAGCCTCTAAGTGTCCTAATAGACTGCTTTGTAGGACTTAAAGATTATAGGACCAGACAATAAAACGTCCTATCTAAACTTGTTACAGTAAGTCTATAAGAAGCTTTTAGACGTCTTAACAAATTTTTTGGGACGTTAAAAAAAGCAAAGTATCGTATCAGCTATTTTATATGATTATCTTACAAGTCACTTGTTCTTATAACACACTTTTTCAAATAGTGTCATGTAAAAAAGTTAATAGGACGCTTTATTTCGAAAAGCATACCAAAAAACTTGTTAAGACGCCAAAGAGCATCCTATAAAACTTATTGTGACGCTTTTAGATATGCCACTTTATTGTTCGGTCCTATAAAGCAATCTATTACTTCCTCTCGTCCCAAAATAAGTATCCACATTTCTATTTCAGTTTGTCCCACCACTTCAATAGAATAAGGGTTTATTTTCCCATTCTACCTTGATTATCCGATGGAGAAAATTTCTCTCGCTATTACTAAAGGATAAAAGTGTCATTTAGTTAATTAAAAAGTGTAATAATTACACATTCGTAAAACCATCTGTCGTAACCACAAGGGTGGTGCCTTATTGGTTTGAGCTCGGCTCCAAAGGTCAAAAGTACCAGGAAGTCCCAGGTCCAAATCCAAGGAGGAATAAAAATCCCCTTGTGGCCACGGAGGTTCAAATGCGGTGACTCCGGGTTATCTCCAAAGCAGGTGGTCGCTTGGGATTAGTCGGCTCGCATAGCAGGTTGAATATCCAGGTTAATAAAAAAAAAACATCTGTTGTTTTCATTGTGGACATTTATTTTGCGATGGAGGGAATACAACACTTGGTGATTTTTGGCGTGGAACCTCGAAGGAGGTCAGGGGTTCAAACCTCACCAAAAGTGAGATGGGTGTATCAGTTTCATTTTCCCGTATATAAATGAGTAAACAAAATCGTGTGAATTTAATTACCTTATTGCAGCCGGGAACAAGGTCTTGAAGCAACTTCATTCTCTCACTAATCCTCTCTCTTCTAACCTAAATAACGCAAACATGATCATTCAAAAAAGATAGAAAAAAAAAACGCAATTTTTCTAATCGAAAAAAGAGAGAAATGGGTACCCTTTCGGCAAGACTGTGACTGTTTGTAGCCTGACCTCTTTTCGCTCTAACATGAATGTAGTCTTCTTTACCGCTATCAGAATTGTCTTTTGCTTGTTTTCCTATTTGCTTACCTCTTGAATGGGTTTTTTGTTTCTTCTCATCTTGTCCATTTACGTTCTCTGAACTATCCCCCGATGCATCACCATTCTAGACACCAGAAGTAACAATATTCAGTAACCGTTTTCAGCAAAACACAAATCGGGTTTGCCAAGAATGTCCAAGTGTCCTGATAGACTGCTTTATAGGACCAAACAACTGTGTGTCCTGTGTAAAAGATTATTTGGACGTCTTAACAATTTTGTTTAAGACGCTTTTGAAATAACCCGTCAAATTTTTTCATATGACATTGTCATTCTAGACCAGAAAAACGAAAGTCAACAACCATTTTCAGCAAAACACAAATCGGGTTTGCGAAAAATGTACAAGTGCCCTGATAGACGGCTTTATAGGACCAAACGACTGTAGGCGTTTTTGGACGTCTTAACAATTTTCTTTAAGACACTATTGAAATAAACCATCAAATTTTTTTCATATGACATTGTCTCATTCAAGACCAGAAAAACAAAAATCAACAACCATTTTCAGCAAAACACACTACAACAAAATCGGGTTTATAGGAATGCCAAAAATGTCTAAGTGTCCTAATAGATTGCTTTATAGGACCAAACGACTGTGCGTTCTATGTAAAGGCGTTTTTAGATGTCTTAACAAGTTTTTCTATACGCTTTTGAAATAAACCGTCAAGTTTTTTTATATGATATAACCATTCTAGACCAGAAAAACAAAAATCAACAACCACTTCAGCAAAACACACTACAACGAAATTGTCGCTAAAAATGTCTAAGCGTCCTAATAAACTGCTCTATAGGACCAAATTACTGTGTGTCCTATGTAAAGACATTTTTTGACGTCAAGGTTTTTTAAACACTTAGGGGTACCAAACGCTTATCGGTAAGAGTCACGACTCTTACTACCTTATGGGATAACGTTCCCGGTTATCAAAATGGATTGATGGTATGTGTTTATAACCCAGTAAGTGCTTACCGGGTAAGAGTCATCACCCTCACTTACCGCCTACCAGGTAAGACTCTTGATCATTAGCTTCCTTCTTACCATGTGAGATTCTCAGTCCTTGTTATGCTCCCTCGATAAGGTAATTGAACTAGTAAGCACTTACCAAGGTAAGTTAGTAAGCCGTCCCTTAGTTCATAGGACACTTCCCAAAATGTGATTTTAAAAAAACTAATACAACACGTTTATTTTCAAAGTGTTTCTAAAAATCAGTTAAAACGTTCTATAAACTTATTGCAATGCTTTTACACAGGACCCACAATTGTTTGATCTTATAAACTTAAATCAATTAGAACACTTCTCAAATGTGATTTTTTTTTAAAAACAATACAACAATTTATTTCAAAAGTGTTGTTAAAACGCCCAAAAACATCGATGAACTAATTTTTACGTGTTTTTACGTAGGACCCACAATTGTATTGTTTGATCTTATAACTTCAATCCGTTATTTTCGACATTTTTAGAATCATATAAACCCGATTTTGTTGGATTAACACAAATATCAAGATTACTAAACTTTCTAAATATAGAATGAACATGGATACACAAGTATCAAGATTACTAAACTTTCTAAAAATATAGAATGAAAATGGATCTTTTGATACCTTAATGGGATTGAAGGTAGAAGAATGAGGAGCTCTTCTTTTATCACTCCTATCAGGAGATGAAGCACTTTCAGAAACTCTTTGAACACTGCATTCTGGATTAGGGTTCATAAACGGATTCACCATTTCTGAGAAACCCCCATTTCCAAATGACCCAGATTGATAATGTTGAAGAAGACCACTATAATTCTCAATCGGATCCCAACCCGACCCGAATAAATTCCCACCTGAAGACTTATTGGGAAACATGGATCCAGAACTGATTTCACCTCTTTGTTGAAACCCCATTTCTCTACCATTGTTATCCTCAGAAGAAGCCATTGTTATGAACAAGAACACACAGAATCACAAATTGGAGGAACCCTAATTTCGAAAATTAAGGAATTACAATGGGGGTAAAGTTGAAAAAACAGATTGAGATTAAGATAATTGGAAGAAGAATGAAATGGGTATAAATCTTTAGGTTGAAAATGGTATAATGATCAAAGGGATTTGGAAAGTGAAGTCCATGGAGACAACCAATTGTTAAGCTTTAAAAGGATAAAGTAATAGAAAGATGAAGTAAATGGGGCAGTAAGTTAACAGCTCACTCTTATTACTCCAAAAGAAAAAAAAGAAAGCAGATTCCTTTTTCTTTATTTTTTTATTTTTTTAATTAAATTAATAAAATAAAGAAAACCCACAAATTCCCCCCAAAGACTAAATTCTTGTATTTTACTATACAAGGTTGGTTTCCGGTGAGAAAGAAAGTTATGATGAAAAACGTAATAATAGATTTTCAAATTTGGATCAATCCCTAATTGAATGTCAATGCTAATAAGGTGCATTGAGATGCACCAGAGCAATTCTCTTCTAAAATGTAATTCATTGGTGGATATGAGATTAAAAGTGATCAAAGATTCAGATCTCTTCTTACGTTTTTCACCGTAACTTCCCTTCACACATCATCTTTTGCCTTGCTAAACATATCTTTTCAATGGGAGATTTTGTTAAAAGAAACGGTTTAGGAGAGAGAATTTTTACAAGACATTCATATCATTGGAGTTCCTGTTCAAGAACCGCGTTTTTACCTTACCATTCTTGAGTTTTATTCAGATTTTTAATTGGTGGGTTGTAAATGATGTGGTAAACAAAGTATAAAAATGGATTCTCACAAGAAATTCCATTGGAGATGCTTTAATTTTCTTTTCACTCACATCAATATTAAGACTTACTTTTTATATTTTCAATAAATAACTTAACGGAATTGCTATTTGCACCCTTCCCCCCTTCCAATGTCAAAATCGGGTCAATTTATGCATTAGGAATGTAAAAAATGACTTGTGATGTTGATGTACGTGATAAAAAAAAGTACTAACCAGCAGTACATTTAGTAAAGTATAGAGGTGTAATCAGTATCTTATTCTTATATAAATGTGGATAATGATTAAATAATTGAGGTTTGATATTGAAGATGAATAGGTAGTAGCTTCAAAGTAACCAACAAATGGAATATTTGGGAGGTATCAAACTCAGATTATAAGACAAAATGGAATATATTTATATGGTGAAAGTAGATCATCAAATGTTTGCAAGTATATATACAACCACTTTCACAAGTTAAAAATAAAAGAAACAAAGTAGAGGCTACTCTAAAGAGACTTCACATAGCTTATGCTTATGTAGAGACCTAAAGACTCACATGGACTCTTTTTTAATGTTTTAATGGTTTTTAACTCTATGGTAGTGTCGGATTGGTTTGAGTTTTATGCTTTAAAGGTTAAAAGTGTCTGAAGATCTCATGTTCAAATCCAATGAGGAATAAAAATCACCGTGTGACACGGAAGTTCAAATGCGGTGACTCTGGACTACCCACAAAGCAGGTGATCACCCTTAATCGGCTCGCATGATGGGTTGGATATTCATGTTAATAAAAAAAGTGAGAGGTTTTTAGATAAGTAAAAAATGCATTGTTTTATATTATTATTGGAGAGAGTTTTATTAGAACGTTATATTCGTTGGGTTTTTGTATAATAACCTTGATTCAAACTTTGATTCTTACTTTGAACTTGGTATGAAATAATATTTTGTTAGTTTTTTGTAATTAAATTATTTGATATTTATTACTCTCTTTGTTTCAGTTATAAATGTCTACAATTAAAAAAAAATTTTACCCTAAAATATATATATATATATATATATATATATAGAGAGAGAGAGAGAGAGAGAGAAGTTTTCTCCATCTGGTAATTAAGAATGAGAAGTTAAACATTTACTTTTGAAAATGAATACTTATCTTAGGAGAAACTAAACAGTAACGTAGACATTTATTTTGGGACGCAATGAGTATAAAACATACAACAGTTACTGATGTTGAAAAAAATATATAAGACCCACAAATTAAAAGAGGTTATTATTAAAAAAAAACCATTGTGGACTTTATATAAGTTATTAACTTGGTGAGTTGGCAATAAAAAATACAAAAAATAGGTTCTTATAAAAATCTTCCTCAGAGATTTTCATATGAACTTGTTTTTGTATTTTTTTTTTCTTGTCATATCATTTCCAATTCATTAAGTTAAAAACTTACATAAAACTACACAACTGTAATTTTTATAAGAACCATCTCTATGGATCCAATGTAATTTTTTTTAATCAATAATTATTATATAAAAGTCAGAAAATATATGTATATATATATATAAGAAACTGATAAAATGTCATTTCATACAGAGTTCAAAAAAGGAATCAATAATTAAGGGTTAATCTTTATTTGACGGATCTTTTGCATGTTACATCTAAGCTTGGGAGATCAGATGTACGTTCGTACAAAACTGTACTTTACTTGGGCCCACATCTTGTCGGTGGGAAAGGAGGTTATGCCTCATACTTCTTGTTAAATGTATACTTGCTCGCTAACACGTCTATTGTATGGTTGCTTATCATTGTGTACGGTTTTTTATTATGAATCAACAAAGCTAGCTTATAAAAGGAGAGATAAATCTAATCGGTAAAAAACTAAAACTGTGTCCATCCAAGAGAAGCAAATGAAAGGCAGATGATAATCAGTAGTTGGTCCGAGAGGATGATCAGCCACATTGGGACTAAGACACTCTACTTGGTGAACGGGTCGATTATTTAGGTTGGTCAGTGATCGTCGTGTGCCCTTCACTTGCATATTTTGTCAGATTTTAAATCATTTAGAATTGAAATAAAATCCAGACTTCAACAAATTTTAACTAACTAATTTTTCAATTAGTAATTATTTTATCACCTAATTTATCATGTTGCATTCCGATGAGAAAGATAGTTAAGATGAGAAGCGTAAGAAGATATTCTTCACCCTTGGATGCACATTATGATGAGATGTATTGAGATGAGATGCACCCGATCAATCCCAATATCAAGCTCGATTCATACGTGGTTTTGAGATTAAAAGTGATCAAGAGTTCAGATCATTTCTCACATTTCTCACATTTACAGGGTGCCTGGAATTGTTTATTTAAAACAATTTATATTTTTTTTGTAAACGTGTTTATCAACTTATGTGGCGATAAACCAAAGTTTTATGAAAAATGTTTGGATTAGTTTATGGCGGTACCACACCGAATAAACTAATAAAATAGATGATATACCCTTTTTTTCCATCCAAACACTAAAAACTCCTTATTACCGGTACCACACCAGAACAAGTTAATAAGTTAGAATGAAGTAACTTATTAAAAACTCCTTATTACCGGTACCAAACTGATATAAGTATTTTTTTTTTCCATCCAAACACTAAAAACTCCTTATTACCGGTACCAAACCGATATAAATATTATTTTTTTCAAGTTTTTTTAATAAATAAAAAATTAAAATTAAAATGATGGGGGAAAGAGAGTGATGGTAAATGATGTATGTTTTTGGTAGTTGTCTTGTAAGGGAAGGTTTGGTTTGGTTTGGTTTGGTTGAGACAAGTTGTGAATTGTTTTTTACTGACACACACACTCATTTCACAACTAAAATTCTTTCTTTGCTGTTACACACTCATTTGCCAGCTCACCCCCCCAATTTCTCTGGTTAAAATTACCATATTAAATTGTTTTTTAAAGATTAAAAAATTATTTATAGAGTAAATTACGGATTTGGTTTTCTAAGCTTTGTTATTTATTATGGATTTGTTTATTTATCTTCGTTTATTATAAAAGACATCTGATGTAAAGCTACAATTACAATTACGGTACTACAATTAATATACTTGACTCGAACTCGATAATCATTTCTCAAGCTCGAACTCGACTCGAAAACTCGCTACTAGTTAAGAACTAAACTCGAAGCAAGCTCAACTGTCGAAGTTTATGAAATTGTAGGGTCTTCTTTTATAAATTATAAAACTTAAATGTGTTCTCTTAAATTTTATAAAACTAAAAGGATGCACCTCAAACTTTTTCATCAAAAAGACAAAATTACAAACTTTATTCACCTTTTATGTGTTTTTATAACACTTCTCCATCCTTCCTTTATTACCTCTTTTCCAACGCGAGACAACTTCACCAACACTTTTATAGTTTCTTTTTGTCTTTTTTAATTATGATTTTAGTAAAATAAAAAAATTATTGATTAGTTTTTATAGTTAAAAATGCACAATATTGTTCAAATATTTAAAAATATAAGACATTTTTATTACATTATATTGTATAAATTATATTATAAAACTTATTATACTTTTAAAACTAATTATATATAAAAAATCGTGTATCTCACGAGTTTTCCAAGTGGTGTACCACTTGTTAATAAATCGAGTCGAATTTAAATTCGAGCCGAGCCTATTCGAGTCGATTGTGGACTAAGTTTTAACAGAGTGGATCTCGAGTAACTAGCGAGTTGTCTCATATCGTTTACATTTCTATATATATTATAAATATATAATCTATAATATTAGTTTATATTATTTTTGAAAAGAAAATAGGAAATTGTGGTAAATGATGGATTTGCCCTCGTGTTAGAGCTACATAATTTCATTTAAAGTAATTACGTTTTTGGTCCTCGTGGATTTCATGAAATTACATTGTGCATCCTTAAATTGAAATAGTTACAATTTGATCGAAATGATATGTATTTTATAACGTCTTAAGGTTATTGTTCTAACTCTGTTAAACAATTTCATTAAGTGGACTAACTTAATGGCATCTTAACAACTTATACCCATTTTTCTTAGTTAAAATTTAAAATGTATATGATGTTTTATTATAAGAGGGCGTTTGATTCTCATAATCTGATAGAATTGAAATGTTGAATTACATTGACCATACTTCATTCACTCGTTTGGTTCATTCTTTTTCACGAAAGGAATCTTCAGAATTCTACAAATTCCACAAATATAGGAATTTAACATTCCTTAACAACTACATGGTATTTTGATGGAATGAAATTCTCTATCTTTATAATACCAAATATGCCMTTATTCCAATATACC